TCCCAGGATCCTGAGATCATGACCGGAGCCAAAGGCAGAGGCTTACTTAATCCACTGAGCCACCCAGGTGCCCCAAAATAAAATATTTTAAGAGAGACCACATTCATATAACTTTTATTACAGTATAATTTTTCTGTTGTTATTCTTGTTAATCTCTCACTGTGCCTAATTTGTAAAGTAAACTTTGTGTAGTTATGTATGTATAGGAGAAAACAGTACATGTAGGGCTCATTACTAGCCAAGGTTTAGGGCATCCACTGGGGGTCCTGGAATACATTCCCCAAGGGGAAGGGGGAGCTACCATATATTGGTAGTGGTCTGAACAACTAAGTGAGATTTAGAAGGGCAAGCCAAGAGGCTCTCTTCTTTGCCTTGACTTATTCAACAAAAGGCTATGATGAACCCCAAAATCTTGCTTATCAAATCTGTAGATGATGTGAAACAAGATTATTTATTTCAAGAGATGGTTATGAGGATTAAAATTTGGGTTAAAGCCAAGGTATAACTTATTGGCTATAAAGAATTGCAATTAGGTTTTTTAAAAGAGTCAGCTGGGGGCACCTGGGTGGTTCAGTGGGTTAAGCCTCTGCCTTCAGCTCAGGTCATGATCTCAGTGTCTTGGGATCGAGCCCCGAATCGGGCTCTCTGCTCAGCAAGGAGCCTGCTTCCTCCTTACTCTGCCTGCCTCTCTATCCTACTTGTGATCTCAGTCTGTCCAATAAATAAATAAAATCTTAAAAAAGAGTCAACTGTACTTGGAGTGAGTGGGTTAATATGTAAAAAAAAAAAATCTAGGAATGTTTAATGCTTACTTTAAATCAAGTTGATGATTAAATTGTTTTAAAAATGTTACCTTGAAGGGGGCACCTGGGTGGCTCAGTTGGTTAAAAATGTTACCTTGGGCAGTTTTAATACAAAATATTTGCTCTGATTTTGGGAGATAATAGTTTCACTGGACTCTTAGAAAAATCATCCATGTTCGGGGCACCTGGGTGGCTCAGTCGGTTGAGCGTCCAACTTTTGGTTTTGGCTCAGGTCATGACCTCAGGGTCCTGGGATCAAACCCCGAGTAGGGCTTTGCACTCAGCTGGTAGTCTGCTTGAGACTCTCTCCTTCTCCCTCTGTCCCTCCCCTGCTCACATGCACACCCTCTCTTTCCAATTTATAAAGATTTGTTTATTTATTTCGGGAGCAGAGGGAGCAAGAAACTCAAGCAGACTCCGCTGTGAGCCCAAAGCCCAACATGTGGCTCAATCCCATGACCCTGAGATCACCACCAGCGCTAAAACCAAGAGCTGGATCCCAACTGACTGCACCACCCAGGTGCTCCAATAAATAAATCTTAAAAAAAAAAAAAGAAAAAAAAAGAATCCACATTCATTTTTGGAAAAAGATGATCAAAACCAAAAAAAACTCCCTCCAACCCCACCACTCAGATAATATACACACACACGGTACATGTACTTTTATAGACCTTGTGGTTGTTTTTCTTTTTGCTTAAATTATCTTTGTGGCAGCAGATGCATATCTAAATCCTTGGATCCTGAAATTCTGCTGAGTGGTTTTTTTTGTTGTTTGTTTGTTTTTTAAGTTTTTATTTTAATTCCAGTTAGTTAACATACAGTGTTATATTAGGTTCAGGTATATAATACAGTGATTCAACACTTCCATACAACACCGGGTGCTCATTGAATGTGCCCTCCTTAACCCCCCCCCCCTTTTTCACCCTTTTCCTCCCCCCCCCCCCCCCCCGTCCCCCCCCTTACCGCCCACTTCCCCTCTGGTAACCATCAGTTTGTTCTCTATAATTTAAAGAGTCTGTTTCTCGGTTTGTCTCTCTTTTTTTTTTCCCCTTTGCTCGTTTGTTTTGTTTCTTAAATTCCACACATGAGTGAAATCATATGGTACTTGTCTTTCTCTGACTTATTTCACTTAGCCTTATACTCTTAAGTTCTCTGTCTTTGCAAATGGCAAGATTTTGTTCTTTTTTATGGCTGCATAATGTCCCATTATATATGTATCATATATATTACATCTTTATCCATTCATCACTTGATAGACACCTGAGCTGCTTCCATACCTTGGCCGTTGCAAGTAATACCGCTATAAACATCAAGGGGCCATGTGTTCCCTCAAATCGGTATTTTTGTGTTCTTTGGGGAAATACCCAGTAGTGCTATTGCTGAATTGTGGGGTCGTTCTATTTTTTTTTTTTTTTTTTTTTTTAGATTTTATTTATTTATTTGACAGAGAGAGATCACAAGTAGATGGAGAGGCAGGCAGAGAGAGAGAGAGAGAGGGAAGCAGGCTCCCTGCTGAACAGAGAGCCCGATGCGGGACTCGATCCCAGGACCCTGAGATCATGACCTGAGCCGAAGGCAGCGGCTTAACCCACTGAGCCACCCAGGCGCCAGGGGTCGTTCTATTTTTAACTTTTTGAGAAACTTCCATGTTTTCTAGAGTCGCTGAATCAGCTTGTATGGCCATTCTCCCCAACTTCAACACCTGTTGTTTTCTTGTGTTGTTGATTTTTGCCATTCTAACAAGTGTGAGGTGGCGTTTCATTCTACCTCCGCTGTGTTAAAAGCTCCTTGCTTAGTGGTGATTCTCAGCTGCCAGAAATTATAATCAAAGACCTTCAGAGCCAGAAGGGCCAGTTTCATCAGCATTATGTGGGAACTTGGTAGAACTATAAATTGGGAAAGATCAACCGTATCAGAAGCTCTGGGGGTGGGACCTAGTAATTTTGTGTTTTAATAACCCCTCCAGGTGACTTCACTCCACACTGAAATTTAAGAACTGACCTAGTTAAACCCTTATGTTTTTCAGATAGAGAAGCTAAGATCCAAAGAGGTTGTCACAAGTCAATTTAAGAAAACACCAGAATTGGGGTGCCTGGGTGGCTCAGTGGGTTAAAACTTCTGTCTTAGGCTCAGGTCATGATCCCAGGGTCCTGGGATAGAGCCCCGCATTGGGCTTTCTGCTCAGCGGGGAGCCTGCTTCCCCCTTTCTCTCTGCCTGCCTCTCTGCCTACCTGTGTGTGATCTCTGTCAAATAAATAAATACAATCTTTAAAAAAAAAAAAAAAAAAAAAAAAAAAAAAAGCACCAGAATCTTCAGGCTGTGATTCCCTGGATGACCACATGCCTCAGGGAGATCTGTTTATTGGGCTAATTGCTAAACAGTATTTGAAAGAATGGTAGGTGGAAAAAAGTGTAATGGGGGGAGAATCTGTTTACCACTTTACTCACCTGGTGGGCTTGTTACAGTTCAACAGTAGCCTTTTGATTCACTGAAGTTTAGTCTGAGAGAAGAGTTTCATCTAATTTGTTTTAGTCCCTTGATTAGTCATATGTATCTTATTCCCCAAAGTAAGTTTTCATATTGAAATAACTGCCCCATTCTGTCACTACTGCCCTCTAATTACTCCCTACTGTGACCCTACAGCTTTCATTTTTAACAAGCTCCTTACGCTTAATTTTGAGGACCACTAATACAGAAGATGTTTGAAGTTGTTAAGGAAAAAACTACATGGACTGGACCAACATTTTCAATATTCTTTAATTTGGGTTCCACATTGAAAATTCCAAATAATTCACTAATGTGTTTATCATACAGCCAATATAACAACACCAGAGTTTGCTCCGGAAATTTGTAAAGGCATAGATAGCATTCAAATGGTTTTTTGAAAAAGTGCAATACAGTTTTCTCATTATTTGGGGAAGAAAAAGGTGGAGGGGGAAGTCACTGTAGGAGGGCCAAGACATCACAAAAGCAAGAACAAGAGTTGAAATAATGGATCCTGTTCTGAACTACAAATGTAGTCAACCCTGACTTTGTGCGGCATAAATTAAGGTCACGGACAACTCAGCAGTTGTCTGGAATTTTCGTTAAGATTACGTTGTGTCGAGCAGTCAAGATTGAGGAAAACAGATACGGTATCTGGGAACAAGAACAAAATAACTGCAAGATCAAAATGGTCTACCTTGAATTTTTGCAGCATTTTAACGTTTTTCAAAGTACTTTCACATAAACTTTTACTTTATCCATGTCACAACCCTGTAAGGAAGGAAATTCGCATCAGCAAAATCGTTTTTCGAAACTTTAAATACTGGATCTACGAAGAAAAAAGGCGAGGAAGTTGGCAGAACCAGAGAAATGACAGAAGAGGATGTCAGTGAGGAAGCGAGTCGCAGCCAGGGCCAGCACAAAAGCTGGGGTCCGGGGAGGGGGAACTGAGAGGACAGAGACGAACCTGGCGGGGCATCGGAGGGCAACAGCTTTAGGAGCAAATAAGTGCAAAAAAGCCTGGATGCAGGACATTTGGGATTAGGAAACTGGAATTTACTTATCCGTACCAAAGAGAATGGATGAGGTCAAAGAAAAAAATGGAAAGCAGGCGGGCGCTTAAAGCTGCACGGAAGTTTTGTGGGCTCCGGCGACCACGGGGTTCGGCCTCAGGTTGGGAATAACGCGGAGGGGAGTCGCGCAGGGCGCGGGCGGGAAGACGCCGGAGCCGGGTAGCGCTTTCCCTGGACCGACAAAGGCGGCCGGGGACACTTCCCGAGTCACGCAACTTGCGGGGGCCGAAGGGTTAACTGCGCGCACGACTCCCGCGCGCTTCCCGGCCCCCACTCCCACCGTCGCTAGGAAACGCCGGGAGTGGGGGAGGGGCAGGCGGCGCGGCCGAGGGTGGGAATCTTTTTCGGGCGCCCGGGGGCGGAGAGAGGGGAGCGCGCGTGCGCGCGCCCGCCGTCCGTCGCCGCGGTGACCGTCCTCGGAGTCCGTCGGCTCGCGCCCCGCCCCCGTTCTGCTGCCCCCTCCCCTGTGGCGCGCGGGGGGTGTTTCTCGCTCCTCCCGAGTTGCCGCCGCCGCCGCCGCCGCCGCCGCCGCCGCCGCCGCCGCCGCTCCTCCTCTCCTCCTCTCCCAGTCTTGGGTTTCCCAGGCGTTGCTGCCGCCGCTACCTCTGCGGTCTGTATGAGGAGGAGGAGGATGTGAAGATGGCGGAGCTGCAGATGCTGCTGGAGGAGGAAATCCCGGGGGGCCGCCGGGCCCTCTTCGACAGTTACACGAACCTGGAACGGGTGGCAGATTACTGCGAGAACAACTACATCCAGGTGCGAAGCAGGTCCCGGCCTGGGCGCATTGGGCCTCCGGCTGGTGGACGCCGCATGGGGGATCCCCGGGCCGGGGGCCGCGCGCGCTGGGGGCATAGGGCGCGCGGGGCCGCGGTCGCGGCCGCGGCGGGGACCCGGCCCAGCTAAGCCCCAGAGGGCGAGGGATTGGGAGAGTAGGGTGGGAGCCGGGGCTGGTGAGTTGGTGAGAAACCTGCGGCTGGAGGAAATTGTAGCCTTAATACATTTTAAAAAACGGTGAATCAGTCCGCGGTGCGGTGTGTGTGTCTGTGTGTTGTGTCGTGTCGTGTCCCAGCCCCTTCGCTGCTTCTCCCCTCGGCCGCCCCCGCTCTCGGTACCCGTCAGTGTTCGGGATGGCGGAGGAGGCGGAGAGTGGCTTTTTCTATTTGACAGAATCCTGCTCCCCCATATGGCAGGGGTGTGGGGGGATTGATGGATCACCCCCCTCCCCCAAGCTCTGGAGGATTTTTAAGGGGCTGTGTTGCTGCGAAGTAAAGTGCCTTAGTTTTATATTCATATAAATGTCTCAAGAGACTGGTAATTTTGCTTATTTTTTTTTAGTTTCTAGCCGGGGATACAGTAGAAGAGCAGTTGTCTCTTGTTGGAAGTTATTGCCATTTTCCTCCCTATGGAGAATGTGAAATTGCATGATAATAACCCCCCCCCATTCCCGTTAGAATAGTTCATTTTCCTATGGGAAAAAGAATTGTATTTTTCAGCAAGGATTAGGAAAGGATCCTCATGGTTTAATTTTTTCCGGAGATGGTTGGTTTGGCACGGAGACTCGTAGTGGTAACGCTGTGTGTATGTATATGGAGGTGGGGTATATTGGGTGAGATGGGATCCAGCTGCCCCCGGACGAAGCAAAAGATGCTGTGGATTTAAAAAAAAAAAAAATCCTTCTTTGAAAATTATTTGAAAAGATAGGTTAAAACACAGTTTGCAAATTTAGCATCTTTTGTTTTCTCTATGGCTTATTCTGAATCACAGGTTCTACCTCCATTTTTTCCCCCCTTCCCATTTAAATTCTCTTGGGATAAAGGTGGAAATGGAAGAAGTATGTTAAATTGCTCTTTCACTACCGTCTTTTCCTTTTTTTTTCTTTCCCCCACTTCGATCTCTCCAGGCATCCTTCTTATCAGCTATGTTGGGAAGCATTCTTCAGTCTTAGTATAAACTAAAAATTAAAAAAAAAAAAAGGCGTTAGGATTTATAGGTTCATAAATTTTGTAAGGATCGCATAGTTAATCAAGGGTGGTGTTGTGAGATTTTACTTGATTGCATATGTACTGAATTCTCTATTATCTTGTAGGGACTGTTTATTGGGGAAGGAACCAGGCATAATCCAAGGCTTTTCCCTCCAAAGGGGCACTTGAAAGTATGGCTAGTAGGAACAGAAAAAAATGTGTCTTAGGTCAGAGTTCATACAAAATATACAGTGGTCCATATTTGGAGGGTGCTTTGCTAATAGCGAGTGGGATAGGAAAGAGTCAAATGATTAGTTGTTCAATTTTCAACTGAATATTATTCAAAAGTCTTCTGCAGCCTGGCACAGTGTAAAGGGTTGATGATACACACCTAGTGTTTATAGAATTTTGTAGTGTAGTTCATAGGAGAGGCTGATCTGTGAACAGATGAATAAAGTAGTGTGTCAATTTATACTCTGTAAGGACAGAAGGACTGGGGGAAGCTCTGCTATTCTCAGGGAATTCATAGTCTCTTAGGAGTGGCAAATCTAAAGGACTGAAGTGGTAATTCCATTGCCTCCTGCAACATATTATGGGGTTATAGGTCTGAAGAGACAGTGGGAGTGGAAAAGTGGTTTGGTAGCAGTTATTACCAGTAGTAAAAAATAACAGATTTGTCTCTCTTTGGAAAATAATTTTTATTTTTGAAGGCATAGTTTTTCTTAGATTACAGTTGATACATAAAGGTAAAGTATATGGGTTAATAAAGCTGAGAGGTTAAAGGGCTTAGGGATTGTCCTCTTTTTAAATATTTTATATATTTCTTCTAGTTGAGAGGAGGAGAATATTACTGCCACCATTATGTTTTAGCAATAGGATTAAAAATTTAGTGTGGTGGCATTTTAAATTCATAGTATAGATATTAATAGAAATGGATTTGACAATATTTTTTCAATTTAGCATCTAAAATTGCTTTTACACTTTAGATTTTACCTCCTAGGTTATCATCTGTTTCATGATCCAGTGGGTGTATTATTGGTGTTTTTCTCTTCCCAGATGACAGCTCTTTGGATGATTTGTTTGTAGTAAAGTTGATAAATAGAACATACTGATTGTATGTTTATGCTGACCCAGCTGTACAGTTGACCCAACTGGCTCTCTTTGTGACCAGAGAACTGACCAGCAGGGGTTTTGATGCTGCCTCTTACCCTGCAAAGTTAATTGGTTACTTATATGATCACGTAGTCAGTTTAGCCTTGTTATAGCAACGTGCCCTAACCACTAGCTCGAGTTAACTAACCTAACACTCATTTTATTTTGTGGAAATAATTTTTGCCAGTAAAGTAGAAAAAGATAAATCTGTTGTTATATAATAACAAAGGGTAAGGTTCTTTGTTGCGTGTTCTTAAATAGCTGGTTTTAAGCATAGGAATATCCAAATAATTAGGTTAAATAAGAATATCCTAAATATGGATTGTATTTAGTGTGGATATTGAGCAAAGGAAGGAAAAATCATTGTGCTGTCTTTCTGGAAACAACTATACTGTGTTTAAATTGTTGCTAATAAAAACATCCTTCATATATATTACCAGCATTAAGAGTGACTAGGTATTGCCTGTGTAACACACACACATACACAAAATCTACAGGTACAGCAGTGTTGTTAAGTAGTAGTTTTTCAGGTTACTAATGCAGCTATTAAGTAGTAGTTTTTCAGGTTACTCATGCAGCTAATGTTAAAAATTTAAAAATCATCCTTAGTAAAAATTTAGATGGCTTTCTTTTATTATTTCAACCTCTAGAAAAAGTGATAGTAAACATATTTTTTCTAGAATGTGATGATAAAAAGTTGTAACTAACATTTGCTGCTGTTTACCTGGTTGATTTTATCTCTTCTCTGTAAAAAAAGGTTTAGTAATTAGGATTTTTTAAGATACGTGTAAGACCTGTGTTTCCTTTTTTCATTTATTAATATAAACATTGATACCTAAACTAAGTGTCCAGAAATTTTAAACCGTATTTTGATTGACTTGGAATCTACATTTTTACAGATAGAAGAATTTTATAATAATATGAGTTGTTTTAATGTTTTGGTAGATGAAATAAATTTCTAGTTGGTACTTTCCTAGAGTAATCTGAAAAACTAATTCTTTTTTTTTTTTTTTTTTTTAAAGATTTTATTTATTTGTCAGAGAGAGAACACAAACAGGGGGAGCAGCCGGCAGAGCAGGCAGAGGAAGAAGCAGGCCCCCTGCTGAGCAAGGAGGGATACAGGACCTGATCCCATGACCCTGCCATCATGACCCCAGCCAAAGGCAGATGCTTAAGGGACTGAGCCACCCAGGCATCCTAAAACTAACTTATTCCTAGTTACATTTTTTTTTTTAAATTTCTTATTTCTATTCAGCGTAACAGTATTCCTTGTTTTCGCACCACACGCAGTGCTCCATGCAACCCGTGCCCTCTCCAATGCCCACCACCTGGTTCCCCCAGCCTCCCAACCCCCGCCCCTTCAAACCCTTCAGATTGTTTTTCATGCTTTTTTAAAACGATTTATTTGAGAGAGAGCGAGAGAGCATACAGGCACGCATATGTGAGTGGTGGGAGGCAGGAAAAAAGGGAGATGTACAGATTCCTCCCTGACTGGAGAGTCCCACTTGGGGCTGCATCCTAAGATCCTGAGATTACGACCTGATCTGAGAACGAGAGTCAGACACTTGACTGACCAAGCCATTCAGGCACCCCTACCTTTTTCCTATTTGTTAGATAAAATACTTAGTGCTTTTTGTGAGTGTTAATTCACATTAGATAAACAGTAAAATCCTATTGTCCATCATTTGGAGTAAGAGCAAAATCATCCAGTAACATGGATTTACTTAGAAGAACAGAAATTAAAAATGTTTCTTAAGGGGAGCCTGGCTGCCTCAGTCTGTAAAGCATGCAGCTCTTGATCCCAAGGTCATGAGTTAGAGCCCCATTTGGGCACAGAGCTTCCTTAAAAAATAAGAAAATAAAAAATACTTTATAAACATTTTTCAAAAAATATACCTTAAATTTTAGCGGAAATATATATATATATATATATTTCTGATATTTACATGAAATATATTTTTGTATTTTGCTTTTGAATAATGGGAGAGATGGCATTAATGGCTTCCCTTTTCGTCTTTATTAACAACTATACTCCCAGAATTCATTAAAAATTGTGTGAAAAGTTTATTATAGGGAGCTAATAGAATCATGACTTGTTACCAGATTCATAAAAAAAGCCATTACTGAAACAGTGTAAAGATTTAAAATTCTTATTTAATAAAAACTATTTGGATACATGCTCACTGTTGAAAAATTACTAGGAAAAATTACTAAGGAAGAAACTTAAAATTTTTGAATATATATCTGGTATTTATGCTTTTAAATCTTTTGCTATACATAACTATATATCAAAAATGGGTTCATGTTGTTTATTACCTCTGTACCTTGCCTTAAGAAGAAACTTTATTACTATTATTTTATTTTTAAAATATTTCATGTATTTATTTGACAGAGAGAGAGACGGCGAGAGAGAGAAAACAAGCAGGAGCAATGAGAGAGGGAGAAGCAGGTCTCCCGCTGAGCAGGGAACTTGATGGGGGGCTCCATTCCAGGACGCTTGGATTATGACCTGAGCCAAAGACAGCCGCCTAACGACAGCCACCCAAGCGCCCCTGCTATTACTATTTTTAAAAAGATTTTATTTTTAAGTAATCTCTCCACCCAGCATTGGGCTCCAGTTTACAGCCTGGAGATTTAAGAGTC